TTAGGGCCTTGAAGTTTTAGGGTTTAGGGTTGGGTTTTTTAGGGCTTGGGGCTTCTGTATGAGGAGTCTGTCCGGCTGCTGGGGGTGGAACTATTATGTTTGAGGTTCAGGGGTGGGGCTTGAGGAGGATAACCCTAAACCCTAAACCCTAAATCCCTAAACCCTACATTAATCCCTAAACCCCTAAACCCTAAGAGCGGTTTGGACCCGTTTTTTGGTGTTGGGGCTTCTGTCGGAGGCCCAGGGCGTGCGGGCCGGGGGTTGTGGAGGCGACTTCATTCGAGCTATGGGCTGCTGGTTTGAGCTAAATAGGAGTTCTAGGGCTGCTGAGGTTTAGAGTTCTAACGCTGCTGAGGTTTAGAGTTCTAAGGCTGCTGAGGTTTAGAGTTGAATTAGGTTTGGGGTTCTAAGGTTTTCCCATAGGCCCCATAGTAGTTCCTTTTTGGGGGTTACCTTATATAGGACTGCATCTATGAACCCCAAAAAGGAACTACTATGGGGCCTCTGGGTAGGGTGTGGGCTTCTGCAGTGGTTTCTCTGATGCTCAGCTTCGGCGCCACAATCTTCTCGGACCCTAAACCCTAAACCCTAAACCCTAAACCCTAAACCCTAAACCCTAAACCCGAATCCGTCCCCGGAACACTCGGGAGAACCGGAGTTCGGACCGAAGAGGCAACCCAAACCTTAAAAACTACAAGTTCAAGCCGTGCACTCTACCCAGAGGCCCCATAGTAGTTCCTTTTGGGGATTACCTTATAGGGTTCTAAAGATGAACCGCAAAAAGGAACTATTGTGGGGCCTATGGGTAACCTTGCACCCTGCATGAGCTCTAAGTGCCTTGGACCTCAAACCCAACTCCCCGAACGAGCTCCGGTTTAGGGTTTAGGGTTTAGGGTTCAGCCCCGAAGTAGGAACCAGCTGCAGACGGTTTGAACTTTGTCTTCGCAGGCCATGCTGCGGCACGGACCGGCTGGGGCCATGATCTTTGCCTGTCTCTGGTGGCGCCCATCTTTAAATCAGCCGTCCTTCAGACGGGTGTGTTATTCAGGTGATCGGGCCGAGGGGGTTTGCAGCCTCATAGCCTTCTGAACCTGCTAGGAATGAGTTGTATGCATGTTTCTGAGCCTAGCCCCAGATCTCAAGCGCGAATCCTTGACCCAAGATTCTGCCAGAATTATGGTGAGGTGCTGGCACGACCTTGTGATAGCTGGTGGGCGCTTCACCTGCTATCAGGCTCGATGTTGTTTGGTGCTCTAGGCTTTTTCTGTATCTTGGGTTAGGGTTTGGATGCTGTGCAGCGGAGTCTTCCTCGATCCTCCAATGGCTTGTCCGTGAGGCGGTGCTGGCGAAAATCAAGGACCCTGAACCCTAAGCCCTAGACCCGAAGCCCTCAAACCCTAACCTTGACCCTGAAGCCCTGAAGCCCTGACACCGAGCCTGCTAACCGAATCACACTCACCGACATACCTACCTCCCTCCCTCCATCCCCCTACCTACCTACCTACCTACCTACCTACCTACCTACCTACCTACCTACCTTCCTGCCCACCCAACCACCCACCCACCCACC